TGCACTACCACGCCCGGCTGATTTTTTGATTTATTGTAGAGATGAGGTCTCACCTGCCCAGGCGGGTCTTGAACCCGCGGGCTCAGGCAATCCACTCACCTCAGCTTCCCAAAGGCATGGGATTACAGGCTGAGCCACCGAGCCCGGCTATTTCTTATTTTTTTGAGTTGGAGTCTGACTATGTGCCCAGGCTGGAGTGCAGTGGCATGCTCACAGCCACTCCAGCGTTGACCTGCTGGGCTCCAGCGAGCCTTCTGCCTCGGCCTTCCAAGTAGCTGGAACTACAAGCATGTGCCACCATGTCCTGCTAATCTTGATTTATTGTAGAGATGAGGTCTCGTCAAGTTGCCCAGGCTAGTCTTGAACCCGTGGGCTCAGGCAATCCTCTCACCTCGGCCTCCCAAAGTGCTGGGATTATAGGTGTGAGCCACCACGCCTGGCCGTTATGTCCACTTTAAAGATAAAGACACTGAGGCCTAGAGAGCTGCCCAAGGCAGGATGAGTAAAGAGGACCTTAGAGTCTAGTTCTGGCCTCTTGAGGTGGCATCCTGTGCTTCTGTAGCAGTGTCACACTGAATTGCTTCTTCAACCCTTTGGTGGGTGGGTGTGGAGTTGGGTGGCAATCTGGCCTTTAACCGCTGAGGCTTTGTTCTTTTGCAGGGAGAAAGAGAGAGCGCGAAAGAGAGAGGATGTCTCTCTCAGACTGGCACCTGGCGGTGAAGCTGGCTGACCAGCCGCTTGCTCCAAAGTCCATCCTTCGGTTGCCAGAGACAGAACTGGGAGAAGACTCGCTGGGGGGCTATAGTATTTCATTTCTGAAGCAGCTTATTGCTGGCAAACTCCGGGAGTCTGTTCCAGACCCTGAACTGATTGGTGAGTCTCTGATCTCTTTTGGGGGAAGATACTTTTGGAGTTACACATGTAAATTAAGGGCTTTGGCCTAGCATGGTGGCTCATGCCTATAATCCCAGCAACTTGGGAGGCTGAGGTGAGTGGATTTCCTGAGCCAACGGGTTTGAGATCAGCCTGGGTAACTTGATGAGACCTCAACTCTACAATAAATGAAAAAAAAAATTAGCTGGGCATGGTGGCGCATGCCTGTAGTTCCAGCTATTTGGAAGGCTGAGGCGGAAGACTCAACTGAGCCCAGTAGGTCAAGGCTGCGGTGGCCGTGAGCATGCCACTACACTCCAGCCTGGGTGACAGAAAGAGACTCCAACTCAGGAAAAAAAAAAAAAAAAAATT